CTTTCCCACTCCCTTCTTGTCCCACACCCCTTGCTGATCTGAGCCCAGGGTGGTGCTAACTCCCTGTTTTCTCTGTCTGTGCCCTGCAGATGTATCCGAGGGCTCAGTTCCCAATGGAGATTCCCAGAGCAGCGTGGACAGTTTGCGGAAGCACCTTCGTGGCGACACTTTCACCCAGCAGCAGCTGGAAGCTTTAGATCGAGTTTTTGAGCGTCCTTCTTACCCTGACGTCTTTCAAACATCAGAGCACATCAAATCTGAGCAGGTGAGGGCCTGGCCTGATAATGGGGACCCACAGGCACCCATAGGATGATGGTAGGGAGATTCCCTCACTGAAATCACTCTCCCCCTCTTCACCCTTTGTTCTCACATTGACCTGGTATTGTACATACATCACATTTGCATTTTACAGCACTTTCTAGTTGTAAATATATCACTGTGCCGATATATGTGTATACACATACCTTACCTCCTCTTGTGAACTTGCCATATACACACACACTGTGCTCTCCCTAAACCCCCGTGTCCACCCTTCCCCCTGCACACACACCTACAGGTATGCAGGCATGTTCTTGCCATGAACACACAAATGCTGCCATGCATGTTCACTGGCACACAGCACCGTATGGAAACTCCTGCACTCTTAGATCATGGTGACCCCTGAGCCACAGGGTTGGGCTTTACTGAAGCGTTTACTTTCATGGCCCAAAACTGAGACTTGACTCCTATCTCCAACCTAGTTTTCTGCGCTTCTGCAGCTCTGCCCCCCCCTTTCCCTTTACTCCCCTGCTCCCCTGGCCTTTTATCCTAAAAGCTGTTTGTCTTAATAAAATAAAAATCAAAAGTCTTTTTAAACCGCCCCAAGCCATAAATTTTTTGAACCCCCCCCAAAGCCATAAACCAACAAAGGAAGAGAAGGAGAGGCTGGCTGTGGACTCCCTTCATCCCAGAGTCCCTGGGTTTATTACAATGAATAACCTTTATTTACTTTCATTAGACTATTAAGCACCAGCACAGTCATTTTTCCCCCTGAAACTCTAAGCAGGGCCCATAAAGCAAATCCGAAGCCTAATTGAGTTCATTTTAATTTCTCTCCGATCACAGTGAATTACTCTGGTGATAAATCAGGGGGCAGGCTCACCCCCAGTAGAAGGCCTAATTTGCAGCTAATTACAAAACTGATTTCTACAGGAAGATCAATACGAGAAGGAATTGGAAATGACTAGGCAGTCCTAGCCAAGCAGGGACAGGGGCGGGGAGG